AATAGTTTTGTAGGTTATTTATTGAATTAGTCGGAATAAATTTAGACGCGCAAGACTTTTCGACCACCCCACGTATATAAATCTTCGCTATAACGGTATAACGACATTTTTTTGTTATTGGACAAATCTTAATGTATCGGCATTTAATATAATAATAACGACAGTCGGTATACGCAAATTTGAATCTCCATTTTTCTCGACTGAAATACTTATCTCGTTCGTTTACTTAATAAGCATAAGAATTAATTCTTCATGACATTAACAAAGCAGAAAATGTAGGCAAAAAATCTATCATAGTGTTTTTATTATAACGCTTGATTTAGGTGTCTCCACGTTCGAAAAAGTCTTAAAAAAAAAAAACAGTCTGTCCGCGAGCGCGCGATACCAATAACAGCTGGCTAATTAATGAATTCAAAATAGGACGGTCCTCTGTCACTGAAATTCTATTAAAATCCGATAGATGGCTCAATGTCGAAAACGATACAGTTATATCGAAGACGCTTTGATTTGGCATTATGGTTCGATAATGCTATTGAATGTGGAATCTCGGTTAGTGGTCCTATTCTTCAAGAAAAAGTGTTAGACTAAATGTACCAGATGCACACCTATCGGAAGGCATAACATTTTTGAGGCCAGATGGTGTGCTAGCTGCTTCACCCGATTTGAACGCCGAATGAATCTGCAAACGAAGACAACTAATTACAATAGATCCGGAGGATAATGCGCACAATCAGTTAGACTTTGTCTGTACGGGGATTGCACTGAATAGACATCAATTGATAGATCATGGGATTTCTATCTTTATTTACAAATTTAAAATCATGCTGGTCATCCAATCACGTCAAGTCAACGCTGAACATTATGCCGAATAAAAGCTACATGTAACCAACATATGAACAATCACGAGATTTTATACGTCTGTGAGCAATAAAGATTTATTACACACACGTCTGCTGAACGTTTTGTAGGTTATACGTCCATATTTTATTTAGGTTGCCATCCACCACTGAAGTTCAGAACCAGATGCAGTCCAAAACAGTGCCCACCGTGATAACTCTCCATCCACGTTAACTGCTGAGCCATTGCAATATTGATCACATTCTGACTGTAGGCGAAAATTTGTATTGCAATTGAATTGAATAGCCGAGACAACGTCAGAAAAAGGACCGATCTTATTTCTTATGGGTAGAGTTTTGAGTGGCGAGTAAAACCGAATGCATTTGTCTTGACCAGCTAGTCATAAAAAAAAATTCAATTGGATTATTGCTATCAAAAGCAAACAAGTTTGCTTGATACAGTGAAATGCCATACCAATTGCAAAGATAGACTCGTTCTGATTTACGGCTAAACCCAGCCGATACGTGTGTTCATTTACATGATCGTTGAACTTAATAACGGGTATACTTATATATCGAGGATCCCACATCTCAAGCTATAAAGTGATATTTGTAGGATGAGTATTACCATCTGGTTCGTAACACCCTAGACCCAAAGTGACCAACCAGTCTTAATATACATACAGATCCATTCATCGCACTAGTCAACAGATACCAAGATCCAATTTGTTCAATATGACACACGGATGACGATAGATGGAATCTAAATCCAGAGCCTTTCGAACGTGCTCGATTGCTTCGCAAGTCAAATAGTCTGATTGAGCCGTCTCTACAACCAAATAATATGCTTGAAGACTGGACATCCCGTAGTATTAGTGATCTGGATACTATAATATAAAATACAATATTATACTACCTCATTGTAATCGGCGTGAGTGACGAGGACATCACTAGATGTCTTAATATCCATTAGGTTCCGAGCATTACCATCATCTAATCCACTAATGACGATAACGCTACGCGAACTGCCTTAAAAACAAGCAGTCAGGATACATATGACGTGAAAAAAAGACAAACATTATTCTGCGCCAGTTCATTACCCAGTGCTATCAACGATGTATTATGAGACATTGATGAAGTCCAAATAGACGTTCTTCGATTAAGCGGGACCTGGTATACTGATTGTATACAAACACAATAAGTGGTGTGCATGCTAAGAATTGATAAATCTTATAAACATATGTTAACTAACCTACTGGCATAACGCCATGCCCAACGTAAAGGGAACCTGCATCAGCTGCATTCCCTAACAACGTGAAGCTGTGTACAGGGAATTGAACAAATATTTTAACCAACATTCCATAAACAATCTTAAGCTTGTTATACGTCTCCTGCAATAAGTAGCAATTCCCAGCCAACATACGCGAAACAATCGTTTGGTCCTGTTCTCACTGAGGAAACCTTATCGGGTAAAAATGGCGATTGTCAATATAATAACCGGTTGTCGCGATCAATGAAATGATACATGCAAACTTTTACTTCATGCTACCTCTGATGAATTACTAGGATATATCGAGATGGTATCGTCTATAGATTTTTTAGAGTTATTATATCGAAATAATCTAGAATA